GAGCATGAAGGCGAACCGGTGGAGAGCATAGCCGACTTGTACGTGGGACGAGGAGAGTTGCACGAGCTTTGAATAGGTCAGTTTTCGATCGACAATGGAGGATCAATTCAAATGGTACCAATGGTACAGCCTCCTCCTTAACCACCGCCATGGGTTGTACGAGGTGCTAGAGCCCGTGAAAGTTTTCCTATTAGTCATTATTATTTTGTCATTTGGTTTCTTGTTAACGTCTATGTTGTTAGATTTGTCAATTTGTTTGGGATTTCAGCCTTTTTTATGTCATTCAGTATGTTAGGATCTATGGGGATATAGATGACTATGTCAAGCCCGCTGTATGGTTAGCGATTCGTGTTGCTCTTTCAGGAGTGACCGTCTCTAAGTCTGATCATAGGGTTTACAGTCGTAGTGTTTGGAATTTGGTTGGTGTCAGTTTTGTTTTTCCTTTCGATTGATGTAATGATCCTGAAACTTATGATATGAAAGAAGGCTAATTGACGATAAATTTCGATTGATGTAAATTTTTATTAATTCTTTGTGCGTGAATAGTAAATTGCACGTGGGGGCCCCCACCGGGAGCGGGGGCCACCCGATATTCCCGAGACCACATATTTTATTCATATTGGTCTAGATAATATTTATATAGTGGTGGATATTTTTTTCGGGCCATGGAAAGGTCAAAGGGTTGACCGATTGGTCAAAAGAGGTCAATTGTCGATCGGTACTGACAATTTATGAGATAACAGCCCGAAAAATGAATTTCGGAGACTTCTAAATTTAAGTTTTGAAATATGTATTATTTCAAAAGACCGTTATGATGGAGGGTACATAATATATTTCATTTCAACCGATAAAATAAAATATATTTAAAATAGTCGAAAAAATACAACTTTCGGGGCCGAATGTACATTTTGGGACACAAAGTGATGACCTCCCACATGAGTGGGGGTCACCCCACATTTTTGTGAGCTGGGATAGGCAAGGAAATGGGATGGTTGACTTGTAAGGGAAGAGGGTGAGGTGATGAGCATCAAAGGTACACCCCTGGACCCCATTCTCCCTCACTCATTGTCCAAGCAAGACAAAAGAGCCAACTCCAACCCCCCTCACCCCATTAGCTCGGCCAGACCATCCAAGGGAGAGAGAAGGAGTTTCAAACTCACCTCCATTGTTGCAAATTAGAGCTCAAGCTTTAGTGCTTAAAGGAAGAAGATTAAAGAGGGAAAAAGTTGGGAAAAGTGTGAACAATTAAGGTAATGACCTTATTATAACTTTTCCTTTATTTTTCTTCTACCATATGAAGTATATATCATATGAAGGACCCTTAGTATGGTTCCACATGTTATAAGTATGGATTTATGGGTTGGAAGGTGGTTCTACGCCCAAGAACGGACTTAGAAGCCAAAACGACCGGTTCGCCGAAAAATCGCCTTTTAGAGGTTATTTGTATTAATATGGGTTTTATGACTATAAAACCTTGTTAGGAACTTTTAAAAGGCATTTCAAGAACTTTCACTAAGTCGAAAGAGTCGCCAGAGATCGTCAAAAGTCGTTGGAGTTTCGCCGGAGTTCAACCGAGAGAGGTAGAACTTCATAGCGCTAATTCGAGGTGAGTGGACGGCTTAATATCTTATAACTTTGGGGTTAATTATGAGATTACCTAAATAAATGTTATATGTGTTCATAATGATGTTTAAAAGATATTTAAACATGTGATTAGCCAACATGGTTAAGTTTGTATGAAAGGAATTAATTGTTTATGCATGAAATATGATATGAGGAATTATATAAAGTGCATATTTGTTTGAAGTGTAAGAGAAGCACAAATGAATATTATTAACTTAATTATATGATGATTAAGTTGATACGTACAAGGGTTGAAATGGTGGTCAACGAAAACGTTGACCGATGGATAATGGATTAATTGATACCGGTTGGTATTAGTTAATTATAAATTTATATAAATGCATGGCTTTGCATGGATTGAGATACATAAGCTTTATGGATTGATTTAGCTATGAATGAATAAGTATGATATAGACTCTATCTAGGTTGATAGGAGGTTAATCATAGGATTATAAACTTGGTGGAGGACCCTAGGACTAAAAGTCCTTAACACTCATATTTTAAACTTGGTGGAGGACCCTAGGACTAAAAGTCCTTAACACTCATATTATATTTTGGTGGAGGACATAGGACTTAAAGTCCTTAACACTTATATTTTGGTGGAGGACCCTAGGACTTAAAGTCCTTAACACTCATATTTTGGTGGACCCTAGTACTTAAAGTCCTTAACACTCATATTTTGGTGGAGGACCCTAGGACTTAAAGTCCTTAACACTCGGATAATAAATTGGTGAAGGACCCTAAGACTAAAAGTCCTTAACACTCAAATATAAATTGGTGGAGTACCCAAGGATTATGTTATCCTCAAAACTCATAGATTATGATATTGAAATATGGACAAAGAAGAGTCCTATACACTCATAGGTATATGGGTGGGTTGGGGTTTTTAGTCAAGAATATTGGCTACTACTAATTTCCCAAACAAAACAATGATCCACGGATCGGGTATTTTCCAAGTGTATATATACTAATAAGTATTTCTCAACTTGGGGGAAAAGGCTATTTACATAAGTATCACCCTATGGTTGGGTCTTATACTTGAAACGCTGGTTATTCTATATTTAGCCCGCTAATCGCTCGGTACTTGTACTGACCCCTTCGGGGGGCCCACCATTTTCAGGTTGAAGCTAGGGCTTGCCACCTGCACCTTTCTACGGGTGACATCAAATCAAGGAAGACGTGGTTTGATAAGTCCGTATTTGAACACGCATTTGATGCGTGTTCGGGTTAGATTTTGATGATTTTCCTAGCTGTAAAGCGTTGCAAGGCTCAATTTTGGCTCAAGTTGTGATTACCAGGCGTTGGGTCAAGTTTTGTTGCATTTGAAGTCAAATTGAAGAAGTTAGAGTCCGGCAATCGGCGCCAAAGAGACAATCGGGAGGAGCTAGAGAGCATTCAAGGAAGAATTGAGAGATTTGGAGGTCATCGGGTGATTCACGGCGAAATTTTGATGAATAAAGAGCATTTGGATCGACCTCATTTGTATCCGGGCGCGTTTGAAGCGAGAAAACAAGAAATTGGAGCGAAAAAGTCGGACGCACGGTCGTGCGTCTGGGACGCACGATCGTGCGTCTGGGACGCACGATCGTGCGTCCATTACGAAACTGCGGTGATGCTTCTGCCTGCTACGCACGATCGTGCGTAGGCAGGGACGCACGATCGTGCGTAGCTCCGTGTTACGCGCGGAAATTTCCTAAATCAACGAGAATTGAGTTTTCCCCCCTTTTTCTATAAATAAGGCCTCCCTAACCCTTTGGAGTGGTTACGAACATTAGGGAGAGGCCTAAGGACGAATTTAACACCGTTTTTACGCTATTTTTTTCCAAAACCGTGGGATTATTTGTAAGTTCATCTTTTTAATTAATGACAATTATTTCTATTCATCCCAATTCTGTTGATTCTTCAATTATGAATTGTGAGTAGTTTAATTAGGGATTTGAGGTTGATGAAGGGGTTAATCATGATTGATGGCTAGATTCTTGTCGGTTTAATTGCATGAATGTCGTTTAATTTGTATTTGAATAATTTAACTGATATCTCTTGTAAACTACTAGAACGCTCGCTAGAACTACAATTGCTTGTAGAATAAGTTAAGAAAGATCTAATTTATTCTAGGACACCTTCACACACACTTAATCGTTCGCTAAGAGATTAGTAGCGATTAAGGGGCCGTGAGCTTGCTCGTCTTGGCAATAATTTAGGATCTTGTCGCATGAGAGATCAGCCTGGTCCCCTAAATTATTGTACTCTACGCCGCGAGAGCGGTAAGAACTTAGTAATGATTAGTTAGGCTCAATTAAATTAATTTCATGTAATTAAGCCTGATCTGCCAGAAATCTGGTTACCCCGGAATCAATCCCTATTCCCTTCGTCATTAATTAGAGAGAAACCAATCTTTTTATTTTATTGCTCATTAGCATTAGTTTAATTTTCCACCCAATCAAATCTCGCACGACGCATTTACTTTATTTCTTTTTAATCGCTGAATTTAATTAATTCTTGATTCCCTTTTGTGCGTCCCTGTGGAGACGATACTCGTACTTTCAACCACTTTTCTACAACTATTTTAAGTGCGAGAAAACAACCATCATGGTTCGTGCTTCCTCATTTTCCTTCAAATTACCAAACATTGCTCATGGATATTTTTATTTGTTGTAAACTACTTTTGGGCTTGCATGCCCATGTTATCAGCCGAATGTGGCCTATGAATTACCGCTGAATATTTCCGCTATTCAATGGTTTAATTGTGATGTTTGTTATGTATGTTTACTATTGAGTATGGATGGATTGTTTTCTCGAACGCCTTGTATGATTAAGTGAGGTTGACCCGCGGGTGACGTCACTTGATTATACGGCGGTTGTACACGCGCTTAGATTGTGGTTTGGGGCGTGACAAAACACGCTCTAAAAAAGAATGTGACACTCTATCCCTGAGGATCCCTCATAACTAGGAGTGGATTGGGTCGGGTCCGGGCTGGGACTGGGCGGGCTCCGTGCCCAAAAACATCAGGCTCGATACCGGCCCGGGTTCGTACCGGGTCGGTTCAGGCCTTAATTTTTGTTTAACTTTTGTATTTTCGAATTAACCCCAACCCCCAAACCGCTCAGCCCCACCCACAGCCAGCCCAATGGGGAAAAAATAAAAAATAATAATAATAGGGACCGGACCAGCACCAAATGTTGATCCCGTAGCCCGCCTTTTGAATCCCCGGGTCGAGGGGCCGGTCCCGATTCATTGGTCAGGATTGGGCCTGCACAGTACCGGGTCGGGCCAACCCGTCAAAAACCGACCAGACAGCTATCCGGGAGGATGTAAGGTGAGCTTTGCTCAAACACTGATGGAAAGAGAGTGGGAATCCATTCCAAATCTTTGCTTGGAGTTGAACCTGGGATCTCTCCCTTGTGGCTCCCCTTCCTACCAAGTGAGCTACGCCCTCCAGTACCAAACACACCCTAAAACATTTCATCCTTGTTCATCATTATCCCAATGCATCTTATCTTTATGCTAGATGTTGCACAATGAAAAAAGAGGGAAATGATACACCTAGGGATTAATTCTGTGTACAAACAACTGTATCTGCTATCTCTTTCTTGATTAATCTTACAATGTCAGAGACCTGCGCACACAGCAAAAACCAATTCAACTTTCACCAATTATTTTCTCCTTTTTGTTTAAATCTTAATGAAACATTTCCATTTACAGATAAGTTAGATTTGGCAAACCTCAAAGTGGCATGATGACGAGTATTTGCTCAACTTCCTATATATTTTCCCAAGAAATTGCAGTAGTGACTCCACCTGATCCCCTAGCAGGTCAACCTGTCCAAACAACAATAAAAAATCCCAAAAGAAGATTACTTTCATGTTTACCCCGTTATGTCAGACATAAGTTTAAACAAAATTTGGTCTCAAGCAACCTCATTTTCTGCAAAATGCAGGCTATGACACCTCGCTATGAACGCCTTCTTATAAAGTTGCTCCCTTCTCTTCAATGATACAACAGGATGTTCTAGCTCTTCCAATTGCTGCTCCAGTTTCTCTATCCTGGCGAAGACATGCTTCTGTTATAATATGTTCACTTTTGTGAACCAAGTACACATGAAGTTCTGAGAAACACACTTCTACTTCCACGGTTACTCTATAGGATAATGCTCGTGCGCTTCACTACACAACAGCACCATTTATTGATGATTTTCCAATTTTGCTCTTTTAAAAAAAATCAAGAAAACATTCAACCATAGGAGTATTTACAGTAGTATGGTCACAAAATCCATTTAATGGTTCCTTCATCTACATAATTGTTTTCTTAGAGACACTTATGGCATGTTTTGTAGAACTCATTAATCGACTAATTCTATTTATGGCGCTTATTATAAGTCAAATAATAAAAATAAGTAGTACAATAGCTTTTCATTTGCTTATTTTGTTGGAATTCTTTAATTATCAAACTTTTGTCCTTAGACAATTCAATTGATTCATTCAAAGAAGCTCTTAGGTGAGGCCTGAAAGAGAATAATTAGAGGAGATGTTTTGAACGGGAAGATGGATACCTTAGGCATTTCTTCTCTAAACTAGCAAGCACAGTATCCTCAAAATCAGTTAGGACTTTTTGAAACCTTCTAAGAGATGAAAAAGGATTGCCATCGCTTAGTCGACAAGAAGAAAGTCGTTCATCTTCATCAACATTATTGTTATTGTCTTTGTCATCCCCTTCACCGTCGGGGTACAGGCCCAAACCCTGTTCCAAATCCAACAACAGCTCCTTGCTAGTAAGGAGCTGTTTAAGTGCTTTGGCCAGCTTTATATTAACAGAACTCAGAATGCTTTCATCAGAGTCCAATAGCCATTGAATGGCCTCCCTCTCTTCCCGCTCCTCGGTCCTAAAGATTTCCAGGTAATGGTTTACGCTGTGCTGCTCAATCTCACTGCTCGCGCTCACAACCAAATCCTCTTCCATCTCTAGACACCTTAGCACCGAGTCGAGTACCTGTATCAAGTTCTCCTCCTCATTATTCTCCCATTTCCTGGCTGATGAGGGCAGAGGGGGGATCTCATCTTCTTTTGAATGATCAGAAGCAGAATGTTTAACTACCTCTGTTATCACGAAGGCATGTATTTCTTCCCTGATCATATTTTGAATTTCATAATCACATTTTTCCATTTTCAACGAATTCATCATTTCACTCATAATAACCTTGTGGATATCCAATTGCAATTCCGATTCCAATATTTTAGTCTCTTTGTCTCCTGATTGCCCGAACACGAAACCACCAAACGTGTTTTTTAGCATGTCTAAATCACAACTCATCCGTTGAATCTGGTTATGGTAGAGTTCATTACCATTATCCTTTGATCGGTCTTCATCTTTCTCATCATTAATCGATGTCTGTATCACCTCGATGCGTTCATACAGAACTTGTGCTATTTTCAAAAGGTCGGAGAGGACGATCTCCTTCTGGCTTCTCTCATTAGGGACATATGTATCTCTACGAACAACGTTGCATCCAACATCAACCAGAATCATTGCAAACTCGTAAAATTGAGAACATGCATGAAGGAAATGGATGGGCCTGTCTTTAGGCTCCACTGCTTTCTGGTATGCAATATCCAGGGCGGATCTAACAACCTCCATTTGTGTTTTTCTAGGGTGGCATTACAATCTAAGCAGTTAGATGAGACCCAAGGTTTGTCATGAAGTTATGACTTTCTGTTGATAACTGTTTCTTGTTTTCAATATGGTTTAATTCCTACGGTCTTGCACTCTCATTTTTTCTATTATTTTCTTTTCTTTTGTACACAAATAAATTAGCGTAATATTACTCAGTATTTTCCACCTTATCAAAGAAACATTATTTTTAGAGCGAAATTTCATTAACTTCAAAAATTAATTTTGATTTAAAAAACTAGATGATAGGTTTTAAACCATACAAATGTGACATATTTTGCTTTTTATTCTTGCACATTTTTTGTTCCCGACAATAGTTTTTTAAAGAGATAATTATCATTAATATTACTAAAACAACGTGTTTTTCCCAATATATGAGTGATGTAGTTTGATTCCTAGTCTAACTTCCTCATATCATGCTGCACGAGTGATATAGTCCTATAAATAAGGAGTTCATTTAAGTATAGTAACCACCTCATGTATGTATTTAGTCACATGATACATACAAAAATAACATGTATAGTCATATTCTAGGAAAAGTCTTGAGTTTTACTAATATTATGGTATTTTTCCCTTTTTTAACCACTTCTAACTCGGGGACCATCTCCTTTAGAAAAAATTATGTCAGTTGCATAAATCTATTGGACACTTTTAAATTCATCATATAATAACTATCGGGAGGCTGATATTGGAATTGCAAATTTGGAATTAAAACAATATAAAACCAATCATTCGTGTTTTAAAAATAAGTAATGACGACTCTCCAAACATATTTAAGAATGACATCACAGAAAAATAGTCAGAGTTGTACCATTGTCAAATGGAAGTTACGTATTATGTTTGGTGAAAGACAAGAAAGAAAGGAAATACATATTATAAGGATGAAAAATATTGTCGAGACGTAAAACACAAGAAGCAGTGTATTTATAAGGATTAAAACATGTTTTTTAAAAAATACCAAAGTACTTTTGACCAATTTTTCTTACAATATACTATCGTATTTATGTGTTAATATTAATTTGTTATTACATCCATGATCTATCTCAGAATACACTTCCTTTTACTGTTAGCGCTTTTTATCTGATGATAAAAGTAAATCTATATGAATAACACCTAAATTATGGTAAGCAATTACAAATATTTTTAAGAAGTTGAATAGCTACATTAATATATAAGCTATTCAAACGTAACTAGGTGGTGCAGGTAAATTTTTAAATTAAATGCAACTATTTGAAACTTAAAATACTTGTATTTTATAAAGTTATGCAAATTGTTTAGGGAAGTTTTCGCAAGTAGGCTGAACAAGGAAAAATATATCACCTTTGTCACCGTTAGTTTTTTATTTCAAAACTAGACCATTACAAAGCTTCTTTTCAATAATATACTCTTTAGCCTTGAGAGTTGAGACCGTAACGGCATGCTTCAACGTACACTTACCCTATCACTGAGATTGAAGAACTAAAAAATACTCCGCATGAAAACTGTTTAAATCGTAAAAGTGTCATAAGAGTGTAATAACTTTATGAACATCGGAAATATTAAAAAATTTATAAATATTGAAACATTAAAACTGTTAAAATATTTCCACATGTGTACTTTTTTAAAATAATGTAAAATATTGAAACATTAAAAATATTAAGATACAAAAAAAAATTAAGGATAAAATTTGAAATATTAAAACTCACTTCTTGTTTTTAAAATCAAAACATGAAAATAAAATTGTAAAAAATATTAAAAAAATGTTGAAATATTGAAAATAATTAGAAAAAATAATAAAAATTAAAAATTTCAGCGTATTAGCGTATAAGAATAAAAAATTTAAAACTCATGCAATACATAATACTTTTCTTGAAAAAAGGGGAAAAATTGAAATTGAAAAAATAATAATTAAAAAACATAAAAATTAGGGAAAGTGAACATTTGAAAATAAAAAAATAGAAAATAAGAATGTTAACAGATTTTAAAAAAAACAAGTGTAGAAAAATGTAAAAATAGTGCAAAATATTAAAAATAAAAAATGCGATTTTTCAAAATTATCTATTGTTCAAAAAATTAAAGTACTTTACGTTGACTATCATCATATTATTTTTTTGTTTCATATGGTTGATTTGTGTTTCTTTTTGTTGATTACTTCTCATGCCTTGTTTTTTATTGTTTATTTATGTTTCTCGTTTAATGTTGATTCTAATGAGTGCAATTTCATCATTACAGGTGTATCCGTGTATCATAGACATACTATACATAAAGTTGCCATAGAAAATGGAAACATAAACAAACAACCAATAAGAATAAAAATCAATAGTTGAAAGCTGATCAACAAAAAGAAACATTACGCAACAAAAATAAACAAAAAGAAACACCATAAAACAAAAAGCAACAAAAACAAAAATTAAAACTATCCAATGAATATATGCATACTTAAATTTAGTTTACACATTCATGATCAAGACTACATTGTAATATGAAAATTCTTACAAAAATACAAAAAAAAAAAAAATAGAATACAGTTACAAGTAAAGTGAAAAAGAAAACAAGTCATAGCTAGGTGGCAGGTTAGATCCCAATCTCTTTCCAGTACACACATAAAAAGAGCATTCCCAACACTCAATTGATTGACACTTCAATACATCCTTGATGTTGCCTAACTTGCTCAAATGTACCATCAATGTCAGTGACATCTAAATGAAATGAAGAAACAGAAGCCAATGTTGCAAGGCGAAAATCTGATAGCTGCAAGAGCAAAATAAGTGTGAACATCTTGCTATGTAATATTTGTACACACTTTTCAGTGTTAAATACACCACCTTTTGTTCAAACTCATCTGAGAGAAGAATATTTGGAGATTTTACATCCCTGTGAGTGATTTGGTGCTGAATTGTGTTGATTCTATCTCTCATGGAAATCAAATGACATCCAATGTTTTGTGTACCTAATTCAAAACAATGGTAATTCAAAATTATTATTAAAATTTTGTAGAGACTCTAGTTATTGTAACTACAGAAACAAGACTTTTCAAGTAATAAATACCATGGAAATTATCTTCAAGGTTTTTTCCAGTTAAAATATCATAGATCTTGGATAAAGCCTTCCCTTCCAACCTGTTTTGGAACAGCCTGGAACATCCCTAAGCCTCTGCAATTGCATATGTCCCTCCTTAAAACTCTCAAGAAGATATATTCCAACGTTTTCTTTTATTTTACTCCATTTCCTTTGCAGTTAGAGTCCTGTTTTATTCATTTCAAACATTAAAAAATAAGCAACTAACATCTAGGAAAAATCCCCCAATTTCAACCGAGAGCAAGTCAGTACGTTCCAAAATAGAACATATCAAAGGAAAGGTTAAACGAAATTATTACATTGGACAAAACAGAGACTAGAGGAGAAAAAATCACATAACCAATCAATGTTGTGCATTAGGTAGGAGAGCAATGACATTGTTACTAGAAATGACTTCACAGGAACAAAATTAGTCAAAATTAGTCAGGCTCTCACCTTCCTAGCCTTGATTATGACCTCTCTAAAATTATCGTCAAAGATTAACATATCATTATATAAATGTCTTCAGTAAAGCATATAACACATAGAAAAGAGTGGTAGATCTCTCTTTGACGAATTTGTGTTGGGCAACTTAGAAGACGAGCACATAAGCTTTGAGGCAAAGTATCTCTGCACTCCTATAAGCACCATAACTAGTTTGAATTCGTTGATGTCTGAAGGATATTTTCTTCAATGTTCCCGAATTATTTCTGTTCCGTCAAAACAGAAGTAGAAAATCACCTACTCCAGATTCTAATGTAATCTTCACAGGCAGAGTTGAAGGTCAACATCTAAAAAACAGAAGTACAAGATATATATCAAAGGAAAAGATGTCCAAACAAGAGCTAGAGAAGATTCCTTACATGTATTCAATGTCGGAGTAATCTGGAACAATTGAATGAGGTGATTTCGTACTTTTATCCCTCCTCCGAGAATAGTTGAATCAATTGAGATCCAATCTTCTAAATTAAAAAAAGAGGTAGAACATGTATTCGATCTCATCTGTAGCAGGCCAATTGCAGACTTGCTAACGATGCCTAATTTCACACAATTCCGACCGGATAATGAATAGTTAGTCGAGGTTGGAACAAAGATGAAGCCTCTTGTGGTTCAAGTGTTAAACTATGACGCCTCTCCGAAGCTCTCTAAATCAGATATAGGATGGACCTCGACACCATCCGTTTCGTACCTGGGAGCAGCTAAATCCAACTAACTTTGCTTTCTTTCAGCACCAAAGTAATAGAATCCGAATAGCTTGCAGGCGGTGGCGGCGGTGGAGAGAAGCGGCGGAGATATTGCTGAAATCGAAAGGGTAGCGTGCGTCTTCGTCCTTGTTAAGGAGAGAGGAACGAGCCCCCGTGCTTCATGGAAGAAAAAGGGGCGAAGAAGGGGCAATTTTATTTTGGGGTTTCTTTAGTCTAAAGACTATCTTTGAAATAAGCATGTTTAAAGTGAAAAGAAGAAAGGTTAAAAATGAAAGAAAAAAATCACCGTGACATAAATGAAATCGAAGGAACAAAAGTGACCTTAACCGGATATTTCCACAATTGTTTAATTACCTATTATTTAATCATACTGGATTCGAGTCTAGGTCCAAAACGAAATACACCAAACCCAAACAGATTTTTAAATTTCAAAACGGGTTTCAAACTCTATATCAAGGTTAGTTAAATGACAATAATTCTATTTTTATACCCGGTGACCAGTGTTCCACATATAAGGATGTTTTCATCTGGATTGGTATCAATATCAAATCAGACATAAAAAAAAACATCAAACTAGACTTAAAAACAATAAAATATACTACGTACAAAATACCACTTAGGTTCAAACCAGACTAGACTTAAACAAACCAAATACTTTGGAAGACCTAAATAGATCAGACTTGAAATTTTTAATCCAAGCAAAAACATTCTAAACCCGACCAATTCACATACCTACATGCACCTTTAGGTTGCCCTTGCAGGTTCCATGTTATCACACAACCCACGCATACATCTCCAAAAATACTCTTCGCGTGAAGATGGTTTTTGTTATACAAATTGGAGTAAATTGGAAAATATTTGAGGAAGTAAAGATACAAGAATCTTATTTTCTGATATTGCATCAATCTCTTATGTACGGCCAGCTGTTATTTGCATGATTATATGTTGGATATATTTGGATTTTCCGGCTACTTAATTTCACTGGTCCTCTTCATCCGCAATGCAGGCTGAAAGACCACAGAATACAATCATTAGATGATTAGCATGTTACGAACTTGTCTGGTAATAGTTATTTGGCTTAAATCTGCAGAATTTTACGAATGGACAAACGTTTAGTAGCATCAAATTATGCCCAATAAGTTTATAAGCAGAACATATCATGCTACAGAAAAATCGTATCAATCTCAAGAAAAAAATGTGTTTCTACTTTCTAATACTACAAATAGTATCCCAAACAATATTTTTGAGACGGTGAGAATATTAAATATGTAGTAATGGATAAAATGTGATCAAACTCAATGAGGTTGCCATTCTGAACCTCCATGAAAATAAGCAAGGCAGCAACTATAAGAAGAAAATTACTTTATTTGAAAAGAGGCATTTGGCAAGGACATGAAAATAAGTGCTAAAGTCTTGGGTTCAACCACAGCAACAAAAACTATCTGCGTGATGGGTTATACTAATATCACGATTCAAACAGACTCAGAAATATTAGTCAAATGCATAAACAGGGCCATACCTACACCACCGTACCTGGCATCAGACCTTCAAATGCTCAGAACCATGCGGAACTCGTATGATATCCAGATCCATCACTGCCTTCGACAAACAAATCAACCCGCACATCTGACTAGGCATGGACTCTCAATCACAAACATGCAAGTGTTTGACATCAACTCTCTACCAGTACAAGTGGAAAAATCGTACCTCAAAGATCTCAGGGGAACTATATACTTCAGAGACGCTGGCTAATCTCCCGACGATGCCTTCGACCGTCTACTCGCCATCTATTCGTCTTCTATTCGTCGTCTTCAAACATCGGCGACTATCTCTCAACCTAAGCTAAATGACGGATTGGCTTTTGGAAGGATTATGTTGGAAGGAACATATATTCTCCCTTGATCAAGAATACGACCCACATATACTAAGGCCCAGACACCAACTGAGTTTGGTTTCATTTGTTAGCTTTTCATCAAATGTTTTATTTAGCATCAGCTTATTCACAACTGTAATCTTCGGATCACCATTTTAATAAACAGATAAATGTCTCCCAGCATTTATCCCATTACGGTGGATTTTTGGGTGAAAAAAAGTGCTAAAGTCTAAAACACATGTCATGTGCTTATTTGAGATAGCAACGGATTGGAACTCTTTGAGTAAAGTTCTTATAACATAAGTTATTGTTAACATGTTCAAACACACTTTGACTATGCACTGTTATTATGCTATACTCAGAAGTTTTACTAGCACCACTTGTCAGATTGTAAATGGATAGCAAGCAATTTTAAAAGAACCGTGTCAATCCCTAAGAGATCCTTGAAGCTTCGTCTCTTAGATCTTCCAGTGTTTCTTGAAGATCCCATCATTTGAGCTCTGGTTTTAGTTATGGAAGAGATTAAGCGGAAGATCTAGCCGCACACAGTCTTGCTACTAGTAATATGTTGTTTGTTCTCTGAGCTCTGTGCTTCCTCTGATGTCAAATTTTGCGAGTCATTTGATGGTTCATTCGAGAGAAGATGGATAGTATCTGACAAAGAGGATTATAAAGGCATATGGAAACATTCTAAGAGTGAGGGGCATGAGGATTACAGGCTTCTTGTGAGCGAGAAGGCTAGAAAATATGCTATTGTCAAGGAACTTGATGAGGCTGTCAATCTCAAAGATGAAACAGTTGAGGTCGAATATGAAGTTAGCTTCCAGGAAGGGCTTGAATGTGGTGGCGCTTACATTAAGTATCTTCGCCCCCAAGATGCTAAGTGGGTTGCTAAGGAATATGATAATGGATCTCCCTATTCTATCATGTTTGGGCCAGATAAATGCGGAGGCACTGACAAAGTTCATTTTATTCTGAAACACAAGAACCCAAAGAATGTGGAGTATGTTGAACACCATCTTATGTTCCCACCTTCCATACCTTCAGACAAACTAACCCATGTTTACACTGCCATAATACAACCCAACAATGAAGTGAGCATCTTGATTGATGGAGAAGAGAAAAAGAAAGCTAACTTTCTCTCTGATGAAGACTTCAAGCCAAGTCTTATTCCTTCAAAGACTGATCCAGATGATAAGATGCCAGAGGATTGGGATAAGAGGGAAAAGATTCCAGATGCAGATGCAAAGAAACCAGATGATTGGGATGAGGAAGTACCCATGGAGATACCAGATGAAGAAGCTAAGAAGCCTGAAGGGTGGTTGGATGATGAACCTGAGGAGATTAATGATCCTGAAGCCACAAAACCTGAAGATTGGGATGATGAAGAGGATGGTGAGTGGGAAGCACCGAAAATTGACAATCCTAAGTGTCTTGAGAATCCTGGTTGTGGGGTGTGGAGAAGACAAACAAAGCGGAACCCAGCATACAAGGGAAAATGGCATGCTTGATGCTCCCCTTATTGACAACCCCAATTACAAGGGAATCTGGAAGCCTAGAGATATCCCAAACCCTAATCACTTTGAACTCGATAATCCCAACTCTGAACCTGTTGCTGCAGTTGGAATTGAGATATGGACAATGCAAGATGGAATCTTGTTTGACAACAGCCTGATTGCTGGTGATTAAAAAACTGCAGAATATTATAGGAAGAATGCATGGAAGCATAAGTTTGACACCGAGAAGGAGAAACAAAAAGCTGAGGAAGATTCTGATTCTGATGGCCTCAAAGGTTTCAAGAGAGTGGTATTTCACCAGCTTTATAAGTTTGCTGACCTCTCCTTCTTGGGTGATCATAAACGTAAATTATTGGATTTACTTGAAAAGGTGGAGAAACAACCTAACCTCACAATTGGACTTATCATCTCTGTTGTAGTTATTGTCCTAACAGCACTATTGAAACTTCTTTTTGGTGGAAAGAAGCAAATATCTCAGCAAACTAAATCCACTGAAGAAACCAAGAAGAGCGATGCTGCTGGGAGCTCAAACAGTCAAGAAGAAGCTTCCAAGGAGAAGCCAGAGCAGAGTAAAGAAACATCAGCTACTCGGCGAAGGTCCAGACGTGTGTGATAACTTTGAGGGGATAGCTAGGGTAGTGAAATTGGTTATCTTTTTGACACTTTTGAAATCCCAGTTGCTTTTGACGTTTTAGTGGATGAATACCCTACAAAATGTTACTGTCATTTATTGGGTACGTTCTTTAAATGATGGTGTTTATCTTTAGATAGAGGTCATTGAATTTCCACTGATGGGAAGATATCTTTTGGTGTGGTTGAAAACTTTCAAGGTTGGGTATGTTTTAAAAATGAATACTGTATCAGTCTGTTTGGTTATTAAAAAAACATGTCAATCCCAGTTGGGCAAGCTGCAGAAATGACCATATTTGATGGTTCCAACCATTTCACCACCAAGGTTTAAGAAGTTATGGAAAATGTGCACAATGTTGTCTTTTTTATAAGCAAAAATATAGTTTAAAAAAATTAGATAAAACTACCAATAATAGGTGCCATGACATCCTTTGAAACAGTCTTCATATTGATAAAAAAACACATATTGCAGGGGTATGTAAATGGCAACAAATGATAAAAAGAGTAATAGTCTGTGAATCTGTAGCATTTAACGTAACCCAGCATTTAAAAAGAGTTGTCCTTTCACCTTTGTTAATACTTCCTCCGTCCTACTAAACTTTGAAAAGACCCTAACTTTCCTTACTTAGTTGTCAACAAACTTTATCACTTTCCTTTTAAAGTAAGATACTTGTAGTTAACATTATTTCTCTTTCCAGTAAACCTTAAGTAAACAATTCTTATTTTCTTATTTCGTGTGCCAGTCAAATTCAGTCAAGTTTTAAAAAACAAACAAAGTAGTCAGGGGCGTATACAGTAATTAGTTCAGGCTACACCGAAGAATATTAAGAAGTATACTAGACTTGAATATTAGAAGGGTGGGCAAAATGGAGGAAAAACTTCAGAAAAAATTAGGCTGCCTGGACTTTAAACTTAGATCCGCCCTGGGAGTAGTCATGAGAAAAGAGATATACTCCATCGTAAATATTTTAGGCACAATTTGTAAATTACAGTAAGTGCTCCGTATATAGTTAGAGCGTTACCAATTGAGCAGACAATAATGAAGTTGGGGGCAAAAGCCTTGTGATCTATAACAAACTATCATAACCAATTGGCTGAAGCTAAGCACTCAATCTTCACTGAGATTGAGATTTCAGTTTGAACTTAATCAATAGCAGAATAAAAGAATGAAAATAAGAGAAAGAGTTATACCTCCGCAGCAGAAACAACAATAGCAGCAGGAAAGGATCATGAGCAAGTCTCTGCAGATTACTGAGCAGCACATTCCCCCTTTGCTAGAACTCCTGGAACTATCCGATTGACTGTTATCGCCATCCAGAAGCTTCTCATAATTGGTACTGCCGCTTCCACTGCTTCGGGAATCATGGTGGTGCTTGTCGGTCGTCTTCATCTTATGGAGGTTCCATTCCGGTGTTCTCATGTAGCCCAGCTTGAACGAGTCCCTCAACCTCATAGAAGGCCATAGATGCATCTTCATTTGTATGTCAAATGTAATAACTCCCTATAAAAACAATAACGGAAATAATTATAGTATAATATTACAAAAGTTATAAATGTTGTACTTTTAAGAAAGTACTTTTAACAAAGAACAATTTCATATAATTTTTATACCATAATAATTTCAAAAAAAAAGTTATAGTCGGTCAAAGTTTTGAAAATAGTAAAAAAATTTTGGGACGGGGGTAGTTTTACCATATACTTCCTCAGTCCCTGAATTTGGTTTTGTTCACCCCTCCAAGGTGAACGTCACCCTCTCCATATAACCCATGCCATTTGGCACTCCAATTATCTTTTTTCTTAAAATGATTATAACTTTTTCTATATATGATCTCATTCATACAAAAAAAAAATATCAGATTTAATATTTTTTTATTATCTTCCCAATGGTATCCATATTGCATATAAAAAAATTGAAAAACAAATCTTTTTTCTTAAATCTATTTTAACTGGTTTGTTTTTTAAAATTTTACATATTCAATATTGATGTCATATGAAAGATCATAAAAAATAAAAAATATTGATATAATTTTTGAAAAAAATAAATCAAAAATGTAAAAGTTATGACAATTGCAAAAGTTTAAACAATTGTCATGCCATGTGACAGCCCAATAGGGGTGGGGTGATGTTCACCCTCTTTTGAGGGGTAAACAAAATTGTTCTCTCAGTCCCTAATAACTTTGAACAAATTGATGATTTTTTGGTATAAAATGTACTTCACCTGAGTTTAAGGCTCAAGGAAGTAGATTATCATCAAAAAATTAAGACCGGCACGGTGATTAATAAAGTAAAAACTATATGTTTAAGGTTTGTGCAGAGGAGAGAGAATTAAGTGGAACCATAAATTCTTTATTTAGATGGGAAAGTGCTAAAGTTAATGGGACATCCAAAAAATGAAAGTTGGCAAAGTTATAAGGGACGGGGGAGTATGTTCCTACGTTAAATAGTACTAGTACATGATAAATCGGGGAAAAAAATACCTCAAATTTAATATAAGGGGCGTGAGGCAAATATCTGAAATTTACATTTGTAAATTCAATATCCCAAATGTAATATAAAGAGTTATATCAGCATCAACATATAATTTTCACTATAAATTATATGATCATTAATTTTAAGTCAATGTATGACAATGACGTTAAAATACCTTTTATGTAAAATTTGAGGTATTTAAATTACATATGCAAATTTGGGGTTGATAGAATATATGAGTGACACAAATTTGGCCCACATTCTCAGAGTACTAATATAAGGACAATTGGCACTTAGGTGATCCCATCGGCGGTCCACACAAAGCAACTCGGAAGCCCAGGAACAAAAGACTAGTGCCTCCCGTACTTGGATAGTTGGATTCCCTTCGTCTTGGCCCTCCATCGGCCAGGTCCCTCCTCGCCATGGCCCCTCTTCAGCCAGAATATCTCCAGAAGACTACAATTTGTACTTAGCTATGAAAAGCATGTAATCAGCCCATTAAAGGCCTCATTTTGTACCAGACCCCCCCAGGCCCAAGACCTGGGAGCTCAACCCACATTTCCTCTATAGATACTCTCCTTGGGGGTAGTTGTAGGGGTTGAAAAATATTAATTACAATCACTTTCTCTCTCTAGCTCTCACTTCTCTCTAGATCTATTTTCTCTCATTTGCTGGTCTCGTTCAGAGTTAGAACAATCAAGTTAGTACCCCTCGTCACTACGAGACACTACCAATTGAAATGGGAAAGACAAGGTAAAATAAGAATGTCGTTGGCAAGACTCTCCCTAACCCTCAGATTCAGCAGGAGAAGTCTGGCGACACTACGACCAAAAAGGTGGCTGAGGAGGTTGAGTTTCAGGACAACATTGACCCCACAGCTGACCTCCGTAACCAACTCAATGTCAATGCCCAGTATGCTCACATGATCCTTAATGTCAAACCTAAGGAGAAGGGTGACCATGCTTCAGGGCAACAAGCTACTCTCTATGTTGACCCCCAGGTCCAGGCCACACTATCAGCTATCATTTCCAGCCTGGCTCAGAACTCCACCGTCTTAAGCGCCCTCATACCCAAGACAAGGAAAAAAATGACACCACCTCCCATTGTCACCTTCATCAGTAATGACGAAGACGTCGTCACCCAAAACACGACCTCACACACCGTCTCTCCTCCTTGAGCTGGACCAACCACCAAGCGTATGAAAGCCTTGACCTTCGACAGGCTAGGTCACATGCACTGTCGGCCAGTCTCCGAGTGAATAATAGGATGGTTGGGGGACAGTAGGTCGGCTTCACCCATGGAAAGCATTGGGTCGGTGTCTCGGACAGCGGACCAACCCCGCTTAGACAAGGGAAAGCTCCATGAAGAGGGCGCCACCATGGCCGACAAAGACCCTCAAGATGAGGTTATAACATAGTTTGAAAGGTGTCTGCGTAGATGGAAGCAAGGTAATTGACGAGTGGAATGATGGCCAACACCTCCCAGGACCCCGGCTACAACGCACTCTTGCGCAAAGTTAGCACCCTGGAGAGGCAGGTGGTCGAGGGGCGTGACGAGCCCATCATACAGGAAAGGACTAAGACCCCTTTCACCGCAATGGTACTCTCCGCCCCAATACCGAACAAGTACCGTGGAAACGTCATCACAATGTACGACGGCCGCACAGACCCTTAAGAGCATTTTAGTCGTTACCAAGAACATTATGCTGATAGTAAACGCATCAGACGAATATCTATGTTGTTGGTTCCTCTCCACCCATGAGAGACTGACATGCGAGCGGTTCCATGCGCTGCTTGAGGGCAGCGTGGACTCATGGTAGGACTTGTCACAATGTCTCCTAACACACCTCGCTGGGTGGAAGCGCATCAAGAAACATTTCTCTCACCT